CTCTCCCTCTCTCTCTCTCCCTCTCTTTCTCTCTCCCTCTCCCTCTCTCTCCCTCTCTCTCTCCCTCTCTCTCTCTCTCCCTCTCTAAGGAGGCTTTTAGGGGAAAGTGTCAGTGTTTAGGGGTTCTGCCCTGTGTCTGACCCCCATCTGTCCTCTGAAGATCTGTACATGCCCTGACCTGAGTTTATACAAGTCAGTGCACTTTGAGCTTTTAAAAATAATTTTATCACAATACATTTTGATGAAACATGACAAGGAAGTAGAAATGGATTTTTCATATGCCAAACTCTTGTCATTCCTTTGCAATTCAGTTGCTAAACACAGAGAAAGAAGGAAGTTTGAAAGCTGCCCTAGAGCTAGCATTCCACATGAAAAATAAGAAAGAAAAATTCAATATATTGTTAGTGTTAATATAGTGCACACACACACACACACACACCATGTCCCATTTCTGGGTCCCCACTCCCAAGAGGTCTGAATCTCCTTTCCAACCCAACGGAGAGCTTGGTTAATCATCCACCTACCCACCCTCATCTAGTGATCATAACCTGTAGACTGCTTTAAATTGATAGACAAACAATGTGTGTGTGTGTGTGTGTGTGCATGTGTGTGTGTGTGTGTGTGTGTGTGTGTACTGAGATGAGCAGAAGAGTGAACTCATATATGCTCCTCTGTTTCAGGTAACGTTCTCTTATGATATAAGTTCTCACCTCTTGCATTTTAGTATACATAATTGTCATCTATCTGAGGAAACAACCAGCAATAATTCATAGTGAGAACTACTCTCAGACTATCGGTGCTCTCTGTTCACCCCTACCCCTCATATGAATGATGCGCAAGGACCCCGTGTGAGAAGCATCACCTATGGATGTGAAGGAGGAGACAGCAGACAAAGGGCATGGGGCAGAAAGGAAGAGAGACCCTGAGCACAGGAGGGAGATGTGGATGCCATCGCTGGAGACAGCAGGCAGACCCGAGCCTCAAGGTCCAGTGTGCCCCTAGAGTCTGAGCTCCCCTCTTTCATTTTTGTAACATCTGTCATATGCAATATCCATGGTTGTTCTGTAATAATTTTAATTTTATTTGATCAAATTATGTAAAATATTCCACATAAATGTTATACTAGAACCATCTATGAAAAGCCAGTGTCATTTTTACACTAAAAATAATCAAATAACAGCATGACAAATTAAGTGATTGGATTCTATGTGTTGTTGCCAATAGAGGATTTGTTTTGACATTATAAAAATAAAGAAAAGAAAGACAAGGAAGGAGAAAGAAAGTAGGAAGGAAAAAGAACAATTAACAAGTGTGATAAAAGTGTTGAAGATATAGTAACAGAAATGAGACTCTCCTTAATATAAACCACAGGAGTTAAGAAGAATCATCATTAGAAAGTAAGTGGAAAGTTTTGCTCTGTGAGACATAATATTCTGTTATGAAGTGATGACTCCGTGTCATAGAAAACTATTTTAAACTCCATCTGAAGTTACCTGGGAGATTTGTGCTTAGTGCATGTTGACAGTGACATGCACAGTGGTTAAGAGCAGGGATGGGCTCTGGACACAGAGCAGGACGTAATGTAGGGTCACTCATTGCTGAAATGTGTTAAGCACTTGCTTTCTGTACCAGGTGTTGTGCAAAGGGCTAGGAATATAGTGGGGAAAGAGTGAATGAATCTCATTAATGGTCCTTTCATTGTGAAAATGTGCATATGTGCATGTGTGTGTATAACAAAATTTACCATTTTAATAATTTCATGTATATAACTCAGGGGCATAACAGACGAGCTATAAATATTAGCGACATTCAAGAATAAATGAACCAATGAGTAAGTGAGCCAGTCCTTTCATTTTTACTAGGTCTAGGATTTGGAAGAACATATTTTCTTTCCTACCTTCCTATATAATTTTGTGAATTAGCTAAAATGTTCATAAAGCACAGTGTACAAGGCCTGGAATATATCAAGTGCCCAATAAACATTAGCTCATAGAACGTAAAGGAAGAAGGAGAAAACAAAGGGCAGTAAAAGGAGGAAGACGCTAAGTATGAGAAACGAAGCTATCTGTCTGTATTTCCATCTTTCACTTTGTTTTAGATCCATCTATCACAAACCAAAGGAAATAGAATCTAATGCAATAATACCAAATTTAACTTAAGTTAAGTAGCATCAAATTTCAGCATTTTGATTCTCTTTCTGGAGAAAAAAAGTCAAATAATGGGAACTGGGAGGATGATAAACACAATTAGTATCTGGGATTTTATTTTGTAGAACCAAGTATTAGTAAGGAGGTTGTGGATTTTTCTTTCTGCGGGGATCCATGAGTTTCGACACAGGATGGGGCACTGAGGGTGAGGGCTGTGTTCCTACTGCTCTGTAGGTGGAAACATGTTCACAGACACCAGGGAATAGATGTGATACTCAGGTGGATATGAACTCTGTCAGCAGCACAACTTTGTTCCACGGGCTGTGCTCCCTGTTGGCCTTCTAGAGGTCAGAATCATCAAAAAACGCAAGACTTTCAAGGTACTTGTATTCCCTTCCTCAAAAACAAAACCAGGTAAAATTTCACTTGTGACTCTTGGTAGTTGGAAAGTGCATGGACTATTTTTATGCTTGCTGCTAACTTGATGAAAATCAAAAGTCAGTAACACGTCACGGTCCACACGGCCCCTGGGAGTGGAAGAGAAGAACACTGTGAAGCACACGCGCACCTGGGGAGGGTGAGTAAGTTTTTTCTGTGCTCCTGGCACAGAACTGGTAAGAGGTGATACTGTCTCTCTCAAGCAAAAGCTTTAATCTCTTTCTGTGGGCTGGGGATAATACTGAGGGTGGCCTTCCAAGAGCTGTGATTTAGGTTGGAAGTTGTATAACTGCTTTGAAACTTGAAGAATATAAGCTCTTTTGAGCATTGGCTGTTTTGCTGTGTTATCTGATTTACTTAGTTGGAAGTTGTACATTTCTACGTACTTCCAAGAGGACTTGTTGATGGTTTAAAGCACATTTGCTTCTACACAACCCGAGCTGTACTTACTGCTTTCCTATCTCTTGGAGAGCTTCTCAGTAGAAGGGATCCAGCAGAAAAGAGCCCTAGACAGTGGAAAAGTGGGAGGAAGGGAAAAATTTTCATCCTTTGAGACTTTAATATGTCGAAATGGAAAATCATTTACTCTGAGTATCTTGTTTATTGACATCTTATTTGAAATTCCCACCTTATTTTGTCTACACCAAGCCAGTGGTTCTCACACACATATGTGTGCGAAATTACTCTAAAATCTGGATCAAAAAGCAACATCCCAGGCCCCAAATTCAGACCTTGTTTTTAATGAGTCTAAAGTCAAATGCAGTAAACTCAGTATTTAATCAGAACTGAAAGTGAGTCTGGTGGGCTGGAAAGCATATTTTTGAGAAATAACATAACGATCAAACTCTAATTTATTAATATTTTAGGCATGATTTGCTGGCCAAGTCTCATTCTTTTGTCCCATCTTCTTTGTTGCATTTTCATCCTCATAAATTGGCCATTTGGAGAAGTTGGTTGTTGGTAGAAAAGTTCCTAATCTGTCTAAAATCATCTGTCCCTGTTTCTTCCTGCCATTAAGCAATTATAGGAGAAGAAGCAACTGAGCCAGATATGTAGAAAGAGACGTTGTAATCTTCTTTCATCATGCTAACAATTTGAGAAGATCCAAATTACAAACTCCTTTTTACAGATAAGAAAATTGTTATTTGGACAGGGCCAAGGAATGGGCTATTGTGGCAGAGAGGAATACAAGGGGTAGGAGGAGCTCAGTGTGTGGGTCTTCTTACATATAGTTGTTCCTTAAAATGTAAGCCATCATTTAAAAAAATTAACTAAGCACATAGTCCTGGAGGAAAAATAAATTCAGGGTAATGTAAGAAGCCAGAAGTGGGCTTTGTTACCAAAGTTCCAATGGGAAAGGCATTAAGTATAAAGCACGGAAGACTGCACTAAAAGCATGAGGGTCTGGTTTCAGGCTAGGTGGGAATTGTGTGTGTGTGTGTGTGTGTGTGTGTGTGTGTGTGTGTGATACAAAGCTGTGCAGATAACAAACTGAGTCAGTGCTGATTAAAGGCTGACTTCAATCTCATGACCCCAGTAATTAAACCTGCTATCTGTAACCCTCTCTAGCTGGGAGAATGAATCGTTCTGACTTTCTTAGTCTCCTGTATTAACTGAGCTTTGGTCCAATTTCCAAGCCCCAGTCACTTTCTACTATTTCCTTTTGCCACATTTCAAATCCATTTGCCATTAAGGTGTGGGATACACCAAGGAAGGTAGATTCTGTCATCAAAACTGCAAGAAAAAATCTTTAGGGTGTGGTTTTGTTTTTACCTACAGTCAGACTGCGAGAGAAGAGAATCAGCCCAGGAGTGTGTTTACTGCCTGCGTGCCCAAATAATAACTCCCCTCCCCAATCCAGAGGTCAAGGCCTCCATGGAGGGAAAAAGTCCAGTGGGTGCTGATGAAAAGCTGATGCCAAATAAGACCTAAGTATTAAAATCTCTTTAGAGAAAAAGATCTTCTCTTTGCACTTCTTATGCTATCCATGTTAACTCTGTGTTGTTCTGAGCCCCAAGCCTCAGTTAATGGCCTGAGGTCTCCCAAAGCCAGAAAGACCACACCCTCACTCCCATGGGAAAGTGTAGAGCATTTTGTGCAAGAACCTTACCCATCAAATATGGTGGCTTAAACCATCAGAATGAAAGAAAATCATGTTTCATAAGTTTCAGGTTTAATCTCTATGTAAATCTAGCCAATATTTTAGAAAAGGAATAATAATTCATGAGTATTGATGTTCATGCTGCTTGGCAATATTTTTACTACTTTAAGCAATGATCAAAGTACAAACCACATTCTCATATTTTCAAGAACAGGTAGGTACTCAGTTGTGTGAAAAGCTGCAGGGCAGAGCTCAGTCTCCCACTTTTGGACATGCACAAACCCGGGATTCTCACCTAAGCTTCCAGAGCTTGGTAATACTGAACAGAAAGCTTCCAATTTCCACTCACTTCTATTATTTTTTTAAAGAGAATTTTCAATGATTCCTCCAAATTCACACATTTTCTAATTAGTATTGTCTAAATCAACAAAAATTTAAAATACAGTCAAGTGGTAACAACTGAAATATTGAAATTGTTCAGACAGAGTTGTGTTCCAAGATGGAAACAACAACAACAACAAAAATATTTTGTAGTCCTTGCATCTTAAGAACCAAGCACATTGTGATTGATGTAGGGTCTTCCTTCATCAAGAGACTTCTGATAAATATTTGCTGAAAGTATTCTTATTTTTAAAAGCAGATATTAAAGTAATATTGCTATAAGTAATCCCCCCCTTCCCTCATACTGGGAAATGAACTCAGGGTCTATGCAGTGAGGTGTCTCTGAGGCCTTTTTGTTTTCATGAATTTTTTATTTTGATACAAGGTCTCACTATGTCACTAAATTTTCCCAGACTGGGCTTGAACTGGCAACCTCCTGGCTCAGCCTCCCAGAATGTTCAGATTACAGTTGTGTGCCACCACACCAACACCACTAATTCCTCCATGTTAGAAGCTCTTTTATTGTGATGGTCTCACCTTCTTTTGTCTTCATCCATGAAACAGCAGACTAACTTACTGCTGTCAACTCAATGGTCTGACTCCTTCCACCCATGGTAACAGCATCACCTAGTGTTGTTGGTCACCACAGAAATGACATGGTTGCTTCCTGTCAGCCTTGGTCCTGAAGCGGAAAGCATCATTTTCATTCCTGTTCATAGCTGACCAGAGGGGATTTATTCACATCTGATACTCATGGTGCCCAGTGAATGACCAACTCCATCGCTGAAAAATAACATCTACTGTGTCAGAAAGATGCCACATTTGGCAGACTCCTACACATGGCCCAAGGGAAATCCCAAGACCTGTCTAATGTAATCATGCTCAAGCCTGACAGTATCACCAGAACTTGGTAAGTTTATTTGATCATACAGCTTCCCTGTCCTCTGAAACAAAACATGGTGATTTAAGATAAAGTCCAGACTCTGTTCAGAGTCATTCAGTTCTAGTTCATCATCTATCTCTAGACTGAAACACAACTGAGACCACAAAGGCTACCTTATTCTGAAACTTGGTGTTTACATCAGTGTCCAGAAGTGAGGAGTGTATGAATTTAGATTTAAAAACTCTGAAGAACGGGAATGGCTGACCCAGCCCACATCTGTTTGACTGCTTGCAAAGTGCCATGGAGTGTTCTAAAGGGTTTGTATAAACTCCCTTGTTTATTTTTAAATTATGATCTGAATTAATCTTTGGGAAATCCAATGAGGATAGATATTATTGCTTCTATTTTAAAGAGAAAAAACAGAAGTGGAAGGTCCCACGTTGCTCAAGCTTAGTCTAGGATCCATTTGCGCTGGCTGAAAGGGAAGCAGGCCAGCTCTGCAGTCTGCATCTTCTGCATCCACTAAGCCCTGGCGACTCAGAGGCATGGAAAAGCCCGGAAGCCACTGAGCCCTGCGCCTTGCAAGCATTTCTGATATAAGGAGTCCAGAGACATTTTGGAAAAATCCTAATTATATTTTTAAATTGTTCTTTATTTTGTTTTCAAATTTGCATCATTAGAATTTTCTGTTCTGAACTCCATATCTGTACATTTGAATGCCTTTTCTTGAAGTTGTATTTCAGCTCTTCATGGCCTAGAGCGAACAGGAAGCTCTCTCCGATAATCTGTTTTTCTCCAGTGCTCCAGAGAGTGCCTCCTTCCACACAGCTGAGGAATTCTGGGAATGCGAAAACTACCTTTGCACACCCCTTTCCCAATTACCAACCTTTCCGATATCCCTGAGCTATGCCCATGTCTATCCAATCTTCCCGTCTCAGCTCAGCTCTCCACTTCATCCAGCTGTCTTCATCTCCTTGGGACTTTCACATTGGCTTTGCCGCTCGTCTCGTACTTAGGCCCTCTAAACCAGTGATGGTGAACTTTTTAGAGCTTTCAATGATAACAAGTAGCCTACAGCAGCATGTGTGCCATACGTTCATCACCACTGACTCTAAGCCATTGTTCACACGGTGGTGAACGTGATCCTTTAAGAAAGCATGATGAATAAAGCCACGGATACTAGTATTTTCCAAAATCTCTATGTACCACACTGACAACCTACCATGTGAGCGGAAAGGAAAACAGCTTCCCCTGTCCTCCCACCCTTCACCCGAGGTAGGCTGCTCGCCTTTGGTACTCTAACTCTCCGTGGCTTCACATGGTCACGTGGGTTGGTACCCTGGGAGTCCTGTGGGAGGAGCAAAGCAGAAACTACTTACCTCTGGGCCTCCATACCGAGGATTAAAGAACTCGACATCAGAGTTGTTAAATCTATGAAATAAAATAAATACCAGGAACTTTTGGTCCCCCTATATATATTTAAATCATTTTAGATGTCACCCACTAACCTTTATGTTAAAATATATTAAGTGATATCTGCAGTTGCCACCATTTCACTCGCTGCAATTTCACAGAACCTCTAGCTTAGATGTGGCCTTCAAAGAATTTGTTTATCTCATTACAGAAATTCGTTAAAATAAATCACTGTATATCTTGCTGAGAAGCAGTCTCCCTCCCTGCAGTTTTTAATTACCGTCTAGTTAACAGTATCCTTTACAATGTCACATTTTTCAAAAGTAGGTGTTGGATGGCTATAATTTTCAAAATGACTACTTTGTTCTACAACCCATATAATGAGTTAGTAAAAACAATTAATGAAATTTACACACTTTCATGGGATCTGACAGGGGAAAAAAAAGAAGATTCCAAATAAATGAGAAAGCAAAGGAGCATTAATTAGCATCTAATTTGTAACAGAAGAGTTCAGTACTTAATACTTTGAAAATTAATTGAACTTTTATGTTGACATACAAGATGAATATATGGCCAAATTTTTGTTGACACACTATTAATATTACCTTAATAAAAACTCAAGAGTAGTGATTTGTTGAAGGAACACATGTATGCATAGTGTAAGTGTTATCAGCAATATAATCCAGCAAGAAGGAAGAATATTATAGTACCAGGTACATGTCTGAAGGATGAAGGGTGGTATCTTTTGGATAGATTTGAGCATATTCCCCAAAGGTTCATATGTTAGAGGCCTGATGCTCAATGTGGCAATGTTGAAAGGTGACAGAATCTTCAAGAGGTGGGGACTTTTACAAGCTGACTAAGTCGTTGAAGGCATTGGCTTTAGAAGAGATTTTAAGGTCATTCTTTCAAGGCACCAGTTAGTTCTTCTCAGAGCAAGTTGCTAAAAAAATTAGCAAGCTCAGTCCTTGAGTCCCTCGGGATTGCTGTGTCACCATGCTATGTCTTGCTGTATCGGCTTCCACCAGTGTGAGGCCATCCACATGAAACCTCCCCGAAACCAAGCCAAAGCAGCTGCGTCATCTTCCCATTTCAGCTTCCAAGAATGTAAGCAAAACACCTCTGTTCTTCATAATTACTCACTTTCAAGTATCTTGTTAGGGCAACAGAAAACAGATGAATTCAAAATTTCAGTGAGGTTCTGCAGGAAATACTAACAGAAATGAAAGCCCACAACACAAACTGTCATTGCGCTTTTTATATCAAACCTATGATTACTAAACATTTTAATAAGATGTCAGTCACATTATGTTTTAAGGAAGTAAAGTAAATGAAGGAATATTTGAAATAGGAATCGAGGAGCCTTCAGAATATCATGAGTAAATCTGGAGAAGCTGCCTTCACAAAAACTGGATCATTATTACTTACTCTCTCATTTTGCAACATAGTAAATGCCTTGAGGTAGTGTCGAGAGCTGCTGTTCACTGTGGACAACTCCATCTACCATGACAGTGATGGTTTAGCACTGAGGAAAAGATATAAGTGAAGTGACAAAGGAGAAAGATTTTGAGCAGCAAGTCTGAACCTTAGGCAGTAGGCCTATTACTTGCTCAATAAATATGATTTACTTTTTATCAAGTAGTTCAGTATAGTACAGTTCAGTTGTTTATTTGTGGGAAATTAGGCTGAGGCAAGGCACATAAGGAAGGGACTTTGAATCCTAATAACAAACTTATGCTTTTCCCCATAACCAATGGGGAATGGTTAGTTAGATTTATTTTCATGAATTTAGCTATTCTAGCTTCAGTTGTGACCTTCAAACTTTATTTTGGAATTTCTTATCTCCAGTGGCTCTGAAAATTATCTTATTTATAAATAGGGTCTTTATATAGGTAATCAAGTTAGAATGAGATCATTAGGGTGGACTCTAATCCATCTTGACTGGTATCAGGATGAAAAGGAGATATTTTCAGCCAGGCCCTGAAAGACAGACACTTATGTTTTGACTAATAGTAGAAGCTAAAAAGTCATCTCATCAAAGTAGAGAGTTGAATGGTGGTCACTAAAGGCTGGGACCAGAAGCCAAAAGGGGACAGAGGGAGATTGAACCACGGGGACCTAAATAGTCAGATAGGAGAAATAGATTCAAGTATTCTACAGCACAGCAGGGAGATCACAGAAAAATTTACTATATATTTCATAAGTAAATAAAAAAGAAGAGTTTGAAATTGCTGAAGACAAAAACTGGCGGATTTTTAAAGGAATGAAAATGCTAATTATCCTGGTTTGATCATTGCATTTGCATAAATGAATGAATTATCTCATTGTACTGCATGAATATGTACAATTATGCATCAATTTTTTAAAAGGGAGGAAATTTGGATAAAGATTCAGCCAAAGAAAATGCCATGTGAACCCTGAAGAAAGCTATTTATAAGCCAAGGAGAGAGGCCAGGACCATGTCCTTCCTAATAGTCTTAAAGGAAATTCGCCCTGCCAACAGGAGTTCTAACTTCTGGCAATAGAACAGTCAGACAGTATGTTTCTTTCATTTAAGCCCTCCAGTTAGAGGTGCTAGGTTACAGTGGCCCTGGGAATCATAGATAGATAGATGGAGATAAATATTTAAATATCTATATCTTTATCATCTTTTTATAATAATCTTTATAAATCATGTCAAAGTAGGCTTACAATGGCCACCTGAGATGTCATGGGTGGAAGAATCCAAAATGGCCACCTGCGCACTGAAGGATCCAGCTGAATGTTGAACCCTGGAGCTTACAGCAGAGTGTGATCTGCGTCTGTAGGAAACCCTAAGCATTGGGGTTGGAAGGCTAAAAACTAGGGCCCAGAAGCTGAAAGAAACTACAGACAAACATTCAAAGGTGATGGCCAAAAAATAGAGCTCTTCCAAAGAAACAGAAACATAGAGCTCTTCCTTGTTTCTCTTCTTACTCCATCCAGGCTATAAGCCTATTGGTTGGTGCCACCCATATCCAGGGTGGGTCTTCCCTCTTCAGTTTGCAGCTTATGTGTCAGTTATCCACAGACACACCCAGTCCACTAGGTGTTTTTAATCCATTCAAATTGAGATCACAATTATTAGAGAAGGGGATAGAATCCCAATGGCAATCACTGAGTAATATATGGGAGGAGTGGACCACCAAAGCCAAGCATGTCTTGGAAGCATGCCAAACCCCAGTTTCCTAACACGTACGATGGCAATAATACCTATGCAGCAAAACTCACAATCTAACATGAAGGGAATACATTGAAATGCA